CGCAGCCGGCGTGCGGTTCAGGTATGACCTTAATCTATTCAAACCTGCTGCTTTTGCATAAGTATTGGCGATGATACACGAGCTCATACTCATCGAGGAAGATCTACGAGACTCTCAAAAGGGTAAGTGAGAGTCATCCAAACATCCCTCAAAAAAGCAGAAAGAATATGGGGAACCATGAAACATAAAGGACAACTGTATCTGTTAACAAAATAATAACTTTCAGTCACGGGATCAATGAAGGAATGACCAAGGGAATCATGACCGGAAATGATGCTCGAATCAACAATTGGCCCCGTATAATGAGAGAGCGCATGGGTATCAGGAAATGTAAAACTCGACATCCTTCAACATGTCAATGGCTGAAATAATCCAGGTCATCCATAACAAGGATTATTTCAAACTGGCACAACCACTAAAGGCAGCCCCAGCCTTGCGAATTCTGAAGAGGTACTACCTTTACCATCAACACCAAGGCTATGACACGAGGAATGTCATCACCTCTGAAACCTGATTGAGGAGCTCATCTGTGTCAGAAAGCTCAAAAATTTTGTTGTAATCGACTCACATAAGCATGAGTAGGGCAAGTTTGTGGTAGAAGAACCGAACAGACCTATCCGGGCCAACGAAGTCCACGCAGTAATGATAATCTTGACCATTTTTTAGGAGGAACCCAACCCTCCGACAGGAAGAGACGACGTTTGGGAGAGGCATGCTCCGTCATTTTATATACACGTAACTATTTTCGTTTCTTTCTCTTTTTATTTTTAAAAGAGTTGTTAGTATTTCTATCGTCATATACCTTCCCATTTCGAATAAGTCTCTCTTTTGGATTGTGTTAATGATCAGGAGAAGAGAGAAACTAGAAAAGAATGACATATGACAGATGACAAATAAGAGAAAGATCGTTGAAGCCTACGTGTGATAAACCTCGCAATGATAGGTCAACTTTTTTTACCCAAACAAGATGAGGAGGAAGCCCCTTGGATCAATATCCGTGAAAGAAAAACTATGTAGATTACCCACAACTAGAGATTCAAGTGTGTTTGGTTGTTCTTGGGTCTAGAGTGCTCCCAAAAGAACGTATTCCACTTGTTAACTACTATTTGGGGGTTGTCTAAGAACACACTTGATCAGAAAGAGTTTTGCTTACATTAGTTGTGATGACCAGCACAAGGATAGCAAATGATAGTTACTCCACATGGGAATGCTTCATTTCTCTTAAAGCTCTCGCTGAGCCACAAGGTGGAGAGTGAGTCTCTCACGGTCTCTCATGGGTAACCGACTCATCGGTATACAGAGCTTGCCAACTAACCGAATCATTCTGACAGGGAATCCCAATACGTCAAAGCACATCTTGGTCATAAGGACAGAGGATAAATCATCATATCCCAAATGGGTGGCAGCTCATTAATAATCAGGTCATCAAGATGATACCAACGAATGCAAAAAGGAGTGCCATGGCTCAAAAGTGGTAGTCAAAAAAAGGGAGGAGTAATCCCTAGAATGTAGAGGTAGCTGGGTTAAGGTACCACAAACCAATCATCCCAAGCTACTAGGACCCTAGGTCTACTTGGTCATGAACGTAGTCAACCCAACATGTCTTGAATCCATGGTCAGTAATCTGTGAATTGTGTCGTCCAAGCAAACATCGATAGTGCTAAAGTCAAAGGAGCAAAAATTAGTAATCTGTGAATTGTGTCGTCCAAGCAAACATCGGTAGTGCTAAAGTCAAAGGAGCAAAAACTTATTCTATGACAAAAATTTATCATATGGAGCTCTAAGAGGCGGGACTTATACCTGCCAAAATGGTAAAAATGTCACTAGAAAAGAGGATAAAGGGAGATTTAACTACAAAGCTGGAAACACTTAAAAAAACGAGACATAACTTTGTCTGGGTCGAGGAGTCTTCTAATGACCTAAGTGCACTAAACAACCACGTAAGTAAAATTTTATGTTGGGTCAGTCTGGCTAGAGAAGCATGGTGTCTTCTCCTCATGACATGCAAATGATGCATTTATCTACCACAGACCAAAGCATGAAGACCCTATTAAAATGACTTGGGTGAAATCCATGTCATGCAATCTATTTAAAATTGAACTCAAAGGCCATGTAGGAAATTAGAAAACAGATTTTAATACTTTGAATCTCTTATTCCAAAATTTTAATTAGCCTTGAATCTTTTATTAGTATTTTAAAATATAAAAATATGTTTCTATAAGAGAACTTTTTCGACTCTTTCTACAGAAAATTTCTAACTTGCTATACTCTCTTTCTCTCTCCCTTCTTTCACTCAATCTTAATCTCTCGGGGAATGTTTACAAAGGGGAAAAATTTTCTGTCCGGATTCCGGACTTAGCCCTACGTGTGTAGACTCCAATAAAATGTCGTCACGTGTGTTACATTGCGGAGGTTATTTCGAGATTATTTCAATTTATTTCAAGGTTATTGAAGAAAAACTTATATATTCCACTTAAATAACTGAAATAACACTGTGGATGTTATTTTGGGATTATTGTGGAGTCTGCTGTTTCACTTTAATATTTTTTTAGGTAGACCTGATATAACACACTTGTCTGCATGTTACTGTGAGTCCGAACGTAGACTACGTCTGGAGTCTGAATAGAAAAATTTTTCTTACAAAGTCAATTTAGGATCCAACATAAATAATAAAAAATAATTTAAAAAACTTCCCAATCATACAATTTCAAAACTTCATCCCCATTAAATATAACATATAATTCTAAACCACTTCAATAATCAGCGCGCGGCACCATTCAATTCAACTCTAATTACAAATTAGATGAGAAATCGTCTTAAAAAGGCCGCGGGGGTGAGAGTTGGCGTCGTTAGGCCATCCCTAAACATCAACTTATTCTTTGGTAGTTAAGGCCGCTAGGGCTAATCCTGACAACTTAATCCCACCAAAAAACCGTAAAACCATGTATTAATTAAACAAAAAAAAAATTAAAGAAACTTCTGCCCGATCCCCTGCAACGCAGCAAACGCCTCTCGCCAACAAAAACCACGTAACGGACGTTCAACAGTTCGAAAAATGTTATGGCCCCCCCCGCCGCGAAACAAGCCGCGACGGAACCTGCAGCGAACCGGCAGCGATCTAGCGTGCGGAATTAAAGTGCGGCTTTCCCAATCTCGCGGGTGGGGTCGATAACCCAACTCCAAAAGACCAAAACTGAAACATGTTCTCAGCCTTCCAAAGCCTGGTAGTAAAATAAAAAAAATGTTACCCGTGGATTCATCTGATTGATCTACCCCACCTTCTAAAAATATAAAAATAAAACTGTTCGCCATTAAAAATGGGGGAAGTTTTCTTCTATATAATTTACAAAGTTCTCAGCTTTTGTGAGAGTCGCTCTTCTTCGCCCATACCACATCTGAAGCAGTTTCAGGCAAGGAGAAACAGGGGAAGCCAAAGTTCATAACTCTGACGTGGCGGCAGCATATTAATTAGCCTTCCCCCATGCTTTTAACTTTGATCCCAACGACTCCTGACGGCATTTAAAGAGCGAGTTATGAGAGCCGTAGACATTAGAGCAAAGCTGTGGCGTAAAGATCGTATTGTTGAGCAGGCGTAGACATTAGAGCAAAGCTGTGGCGTAAAGATCGCATTGTTGAGCAGGGAAGATAAACTGAGGAGAGAGAGAGAGAGGGTGTGGGTGGCTGGTGAGGATCAAGATACAACCAGTCTGGCGCATTAAATTCCCCTGCTCGCCACCACCACCGCGATCCCTCTTTATAAATGTATTAGCATTGTTATCTATAGCACACAACTACCCATAATTGTATCCTGCCCATAAGCTTCTTTTAGTCGGGGGAAGAAGAAATCGATCCCGCTCAGGAGTGGTAGAGTGTAAATGGAGACCGCAATGTGGTTGGGTGCCGCTGCGGCATGCGTGGCGGCATATATGATCTGGTTCTTCCGCATGGCGGCTGGCATGCAAGGACCGCGCGTGTGGCCGCTAGTCGGCAGCCTCCCAGGACTCGTGCAAAACGCCGATCGCATGCACGAGTGGATCGCCGAGAATCTCCGCCGGACCGGCGGGACTTACCAGACTTGCATCTGCGCCGTTCCCCTGCTCGCCCGTCGACAGGGTCTCGTCACCGTGACGTGCGATCCGCGAAACCTGGAACACATCCTGAAAACTCGCTTCGACAACTATCCCAAAGGTCCGACATGGCACGCCGTCTTCCATGATCTGCTCGGTGATGGAATATTTAACACCGATGGTGATACCTGGCTTCTCCAGCGCAAGACAGCCGCGCTCGAGTTCACCACCCGCACGCTACGTACAGCCATGTCACGCTGGGTCTCTCGTTCCATACATCAGAGATTGCTCCCAATCCTCGACGCCGCAGTAGCCGACGGCTCCGCCGTCGATCTCCAGGACCTCCTCCTCCGCCTCACCTTCGACAACATCTGCGGTCTGGCTTTCGGCCGTGATCCGGAAACATTGGCGCCAGGGATGCCGGAGAACGACTTCGCGACGGCTTTTGACCGCGCCACCGAGGCTAGCCTGCAGCGTTTCATTTTGCCGGAAGTGCTGTGGAGGTTCAAAAAATGGCTTCGGCTTGGCATGGAAGGTACTCTGTCTCGGTCTGTCGCGCATGTCGATCGATACCTCTCCGCCGTTATCAAGGCACGAAAGTTAGAGCTGAACTCCGGTCATGATGACCTTCTCTCCCGTTTTATGCGCAAAGGATCATATACCGATGACTTCCTCCAGAACGTGGCACTAAACTTTATTCTAGCAGGCCGCGACACTTCATCCGTGGCACTGTCCTGGTTCTTCTGGCTCGTTTCGACTCACCCTGCTGTCGAGCAGAGTATAAAATCCGAGCTTTACTCTGTTCTCTCCGACAGCCGCGGTTCCGACGACTGCAAATCCTGGCTCGACTCTCCTCTTGCGTTTGAGGAGCTCGATCGTCTCGTCTACCTCAAAGCTGCGCTTTCTGAGACGCTCAGACTGTACCCCTCTGTTCCAGAGGACTCAAAGCATGTAGTAGCAGACGACGTACTTCCAGACAACACCTTCGTTCCGGCAGGCTCCGCTATCACTTACTCCATCTACTCCACCGGACGGATGAAATCGGTGTGGGGGGATGACTGTCTGGAATTCCGACCGGAACGCTGGCTCTCCGACGACGGCCGCCGGTTCGAACCGCCAGCCGATTTCTTCAAGTTCGTGTCTTTTAACGCGGGTCCTCGCGTATGCCTAGGCAAAGACCTCGCCTACCTTCAAATGAAGTCCATCGCAGCCGGCGTGCTCCTCCGCTACCGCCTCGCAGTAGTTCCCGGCCACCGCGTGGAGCAGAAGATGTCGCTTACTCTGTTCATGAAGCACGGTCTGATGGTCAACATCCGCCGTCGCGATGACTTCTCTGCATTCCGACCGGCGGCTGGCGTCGTCGCGGTGGCTTCCGGCGCATGAAAGGTTGGAATTTGAAGTATGGCGGAAGTTGGTGGCTTCGTGTGCGTGATTGTAGATAGACAGTAAGTAATTAGTACAAGGAATACGGAGTTGGTATTTGAAGCTATGTGGCGAAATCACGCTAGTAAAAACTAGAACTTTTCGGACTAGGCGCCCCACAAGTAAAGGAACACCAAATCGCCGGAGCTCATTTATTCATTGCCATTCTTAACACTTGTCTTAGTTGCTGCGTGAAGTCTAAATGGTTTCTATTATTATTATTATTACTATTATTATCATAATTATTTCCATTTGATGAATTAAGGTGACATTTAGGACAAAAATCCCATCAGTAATTCACCGTATTCATCGCTCTATTATAGATTATATTTGCTGGACTTCTAATAAATCATGCGAACAGATGCTGTGTTTTTGAAGCTTTTTGTTTCTTGTCTTGTTTTAATTAAAAAAATGTTCATTTGAGTTTTTTTGCCATTTTGTTAATATATTTAACAAAATTATCAGGATATTCGCTTGCATTTTGCTTGAGATATGTTTTCTTTCTTTCAGGAAAAATTATTTCATACGGATATATCTTTGTGGTGATCGACGGTGGAGATCGGACACTGTACGGAATAATTTCTCTTCTTTTAGAGCCATGTTTTCTTAATTTTATGTTTGACATGTTGTGAGAATGAGTAAATTATTAAATGATTATGATTAAATTATTGTATAATATAATTAAATTAGTTTAGTCATTAAAATAATTTTTTTGAATTTCTATTGAATTTAATTAAATTATCGAATATTTTAAGCATACTGAGTGGTAAAATATGGCATAAGATTATGAAAATGTATTAGAATATGCTGATACAAAAATTTTCTAATAAAGTATTGTATCTCTCATGTCAAAAATGCTATTTAATTGTTGAATTTAAATCTACCTATATGTAACATGTGGATTTTAGTTCTAAGCAGCAGTTAAAGCTTATTAATGAACCTACAAAGTGAGCAGTGGGAATCTAATTAGATTTTAATGTTTGAAAACTATATGACATGATAGAAAAGTGGCAACTTTAACCTTTGCTTTTGTTGCAGGTTATAAGTTTATATCTATTCAACCTTAATTACTAGAGCGGCTATGATTAAAGTATATATATTTAAAAACTATACAGTTATGCTTGAATAAGCTAACTACAAAGAGCTTTTGTTGCAGGTTATAAGTTTATATCTATTCAATCTTAATTACTAGGGCGGCTATAATTAAAAACTATATATTTAGAAACTATACAGTTATGCTATGCTTGAATAAGCTAACTACAAAGAGTCCATTTGAGAATTAGGCGTTTCATTGGCGAGAGTGGCGATGGAATCCTTCAGCCTGTTTGTTTCATCGTCGACTTTGCAACTTTGGTTGTCGGCAAAGTATTTTCTCCTCCATTTTCTGTCTTTGCTCACAACTCTCATTTTCTAACTTTGTTTAGTGAAATAAAATCCTGGCGTAAATAAAGAAAACTAAAACTTACAGGCTATTAATTCACTATGGGAACTAAAACAGTCGAACTTATAGTCAAAGTAGGATTAGGAGCAAGCTTGAGGCATCCAACACGAGATAGAAGTAGCCGTGATGACTAACTCAACTATTTCTAGTTAAATTCATTCAACGGTTGAAAAAAACTCTTATCCATGTTTAAAGAATCAAACAAAGTAGAGGTGTAAACTAAAAAAGAGTTTTAAGGAATGGTTAATAGTCAACTTAAAGACGAGGTGTATCATAGCTTAACCAAAAATAAGCACAAAAGCAAAGAACAGAGAGAAGTATCCAACAAATCAGATTAATAACTGATAAAATGGAAAGGGTTGTTAAGCACAATATCACAAAAAAAATGCTAGCAAAAAGAAAAAACAAACCATTATCAAGAACAAAAGCAAAAGAAAGCTAAGAAAGAAAGTTACAAAGAAACTCACATCAAAACAAACAAAAACAAACAACAAAGAACCACAAGGAAACCACCGAAGCTAAAAGCACATAATGAAGACAGTTGGCAAAATAACACAACTATAGAAAATAAAAATGTAACAACAGAAATGGAGTGAGACAACAACCAAAAGACCACTAAGCGGCTATACGAATTAGAAACACAAGAAACAAAATCAAAGACTTGAAACAAAAGCAATCTAACAGAAACAAACCAAACAAAAGGATAAGAAGAAACCAAATCAAATAAAAATAGGCAAAAAAACTAAATTAAGTTAAAAATATCTGTTACAATCAAGAAAAGGCCCAGTAAGATTCTTAAGCAGGAAAATAATAGAGAAAGCCGCAAGGAAACAAAACAACAAGAAAATAGCCAAATAAGCAGAATAAAAAAAGAGCTAGAAATTATAAAAATTTCAAATATAACCAAGATTAGGCATTTTGAATTTCCATTTCCTACTTTCAAATATATTCATCCAATGTATATAATAAATAAGCATATCCATAGAGCATAGATTTTTTCTAAAATTTCTTTAATTCCTCTCAAACTAAATAAAATAAGAAGTAACTTGCATAGCTAAAAAGATGAAATATATATATTTTTTTAATTTTGCAAGATATATTATTAGAATGATGTAAAACTTAAAAAAATCTTGAAAAATGATATAAAAAAATTCGCATTATGAGATAATGGGAGAAAGAACATTTAAAATAAAGATGATTGAGTTTCTAAGCCATTCCACATAAAACATAAATATTATTAATGTCCTTTTTAGGAAAGAATATCACAAGTTTTTGAACATTTATGAATAATTTTTCAAGTGTGATAGAAAAAATAAAATATCATTTAAATATCATTAGAAAGAAAAGAATAAACAGTTTTATAGGAATAAAAATTTGTATGCTCCCAAAGACAAGAATCCCTTTAAATAATAGAAATGTTAACAATAGTATTAAGGTAATGAACAAGAAAATTTCTAAAATTAGATAACTTCCATCTACCCTCTACAATGACGTCTTTAAACAAAATATACTTAGGAAGATTAAACCAATTAAAAATAATATCACCATAATGATCTCTAAAGAATAAACCATTAAATCAAGTACCTTAAAATAATGATAAATGACTATTATTATTAACTTGAAATTTAAGATAATTTCTCTTCTTATAAGCAATTTAAACAAAATATTTTCAAAATGGAGTAGGCCAAGCCCAATAATTATTCCCAATAAAGCCATAATGATTAAAGTACCATCAAGATATGAAAGAGCTATCATTATAGAACTTCCATAAAATTTTATACTTACACAAAGCATTAATATTATTTAAGGAAGGGATGCCAAGACCATCAGATTGTTTAGCCATTGTAATGGTATTCCAAGAAATCGTATGAAGCCCTTTATTACTGTTATTATTCAAGAAAAAATTCTAAATCATGCAGGTGATTTTCTTTTTCAAACATTTAGGTAAAATAATATATTAAAACCAATAATACATGTAGCAAGAAATTGTAAACTTAATGAGTTTCAATCTACGAGCAACAAACAAGGTTTTATGCTTTCAAACATGCAACTATTTATGCAATTTGTTAATCAGAGGATGACAATTAATTATTACCAACTTTGGCTTAAAAATGAACCCCAAACAAGTCAAGGGATAAGGTTTAACAATTAAATAACAAATATTAAAACTTAGAATTTGCATTTAACCATCCACAAATTTAGACAAAGTGATAATAAATTTAAAAAGATTAACTTAGAGATTAGAGGCTTTACCAAAATTATCCAAGGTCTTAATAAAAAGAGAAATGGTTATAAATCAGCTTTACCCAATAGGAGAATGTCGTTAGCATAATATAAATAAGAAATATTATTATAGAAATTACCACCATTAAAATGAGAATCAATAGAAACAGTAAGGGCAAAAATATCAAAAACAAAAAGGTTAGGAGAAAGTGGACAACTTTATTTTAAACTAGAAGAGGAAGAAAAATGTACTATTGTTTCACTATTAATTATGATAGAGAATTTAACAACCTTAGTGCAAGAAATACTTTGATTTATAAACTTATAGAGAGAACCGAATTTTTTCACTCTCATAAAGGAAGAATCTATTAATTTAGTCAAAAGCCTTTGAAAGATCATTCTTAGGATAAATATTCTTAGCAAATTTATTAGAGTGAAGACTATAATATAATTAATTGGCAAGGATAACATCATTAGTTATATCACAACTTTTAATAAAAGAAACTTGAGCAGGATGAATGACAAAAACAACTTTAAGCCTTTCAATTAAAAGAAAATAATGGTCGTATAGAAAGTATTCAATAAGGAATTTGGTTTATAATAATAAAAAAAAGATTTAACATCAAAATTTATAGGGATACTCATAATCGTAATGTGTTTAACTCTATGGTGAAGGTTGGAAGTAGTAAAAAAATATTTAATAGCATCATGACAATTAGAACCAATAAACTGCCTATAATCTCTTAAACATTTGGAGGAAAAACGATAAGTTCCAAGGCTTTATCATAACTAATGGAGTGGAAAAAATTTTTAATATCAACATCAAAGAAATATTGAATCAAAATAGAAGAATCCTCATGAGAGATAAATTATCTTATAGGAAAAGAATCCATAATAATATCATCAAGCTCATTATGGCCATTCAAAAGACCAAAATAATAAGAGATAGCTTCATTCATAATATCAGCCTGTCTATGAATATATTTCCCATTAACTAAATTTTTCTTACTAAGATTAGGATTATGTCTGATATTAGCCTTTTGATAATGAAATTTAATATCTTTCTCCTCATTAGATATTCAACTACATTTTCCTCTTTATTAGCCCACTTGTAATCATAGATAGTAACATTTATTAGTTATCTCTTTTTGAATAGAAGAAGCTTGAAGAAGTAAATCAATAGAAAGAGGTTGATGTTCTAAATTAGTCATAATTAAGTTATGCTTATTTTTAAGCTCAGAGATATGCATAGACAAAGCGTTATAAGAATTATATTTCCAACCTTCTAGAGTTATAGATAAATTTATAAAGAGCACTATAAAAAAGATGACTTATAGGACTGTTTAATTAATTATTAAACCAATTATAAGAAT